TCATCTCAGTATTGGAATATAGTTAGGTAAAAGCTGTTCATTCATTCACACACAAAAACGCGATTCAAACAGTCTTTTTGTTTACAGACACTATTCCATATCGCGATTAGCACAAAGCACTTGAAAATAAAGAATGTACCTATTTCCTCGGCTGGATCCGTTGCTCCTCCAAATGAAACTACCTGTAGCCTACTTCTGAGGTAATTTTTTCCAGGATTATTATTAAGATAGAACTATTATTCCTCACAGCGTCGTAAATCTGAGTCTCTTTCGGTGGTTATCCAGCTGATGTGGGCGTGGATCGCCTCAGAGCATTTGTGTTTGAATAGAGCGCGCGCTCCGTGGGCGTGGTCAAATTAACTTTAATGAGCTGAGACGAGAACGACTATCATCTCTCTCTTTTCGCACAGATTACATAAAGTGAGAAAAAAATTTTTTTCTATAAATTACTTCATTTAAAAGAAGATAATTCAGGCTTCATGCCTGTGTGCCTGTATACCTGTTTGACTGAGTATTTGCAGAGTTACAGATGATTTTTCGGACGCGTTTCAGAATGGACTTCACTGACAGAGAGAACGCAGAACGCGCATCATGTTTATTTTTCTTTATTAGGCGAAAAGCACAACACTTTGTTTTTATTATGAGGTTCCACAAAAAAAATACAAACTTAACAGGATCGAATGATGTACAACACTTATATGTAAGATCAAAATTAACAGAGTAATTTGAGTCTCTTTTGCACTGATAAGGAAAAAAGTGAGCTGGTATCGCCGGCGAGACCGCCGACCCCAGAGAGTTAACTGCCCAGTGGCTTCAGTTCTGGAGTTTCTTCAAAATCATTTTTCTGCGGGTCTCTCCCCTTCCACACTTAAGGTGTACGTGGCTGCCATTGCGGCTTTCCATGCGCCTTTGAGTGATGGGCCTCTGGGGAGGCACCAGTTGGTCATTCGTTTTCTCCGTGGTACTCGGAGGATGAGACCGGCAACCAGGTCCAGGGTTCCTGCCTGGGACCTGGCAATAGTTCTTGAAGGGTTATCCCTGGCCCCCTTCGAACCTTTGCAGTCGGCTTCGCCTAAGGACTTAACGCTAAAAGTGGTATTTCTCTTGGCTATTACCTCACTTAAGAGGGTGGGAGATCTCCAAGCCCTGGTACACCAGCTTGCTTGGAGTTTGCCCCTGGCAGAGTAAAGCTTTTTTGCACCCGAGTCCGGGCTACGTGCCTAAAGTATCGAATACGGCTCGGTCTACAGTTCTTCAGGCATTCCATCCTCCACCTCATGTGTCGGCAGAAGAAGAGAAGCTTAATTTGCTCTGCCCCGTCAGAGCTTTGAGCGTGTACCTTGAGAGGTCCTCTTCTTGGAGAAGGTCGGACCAATTATTAGTATGTTTTGGGTCACCTAAGAAGGGGCTCCCGGCATCCAAGCAAACTATTAGTTTTTGGATTGTTCAGGCTATTACTGAGGCTTACAAGGTGCGCGATTTGCCTTCACCTTTAGCCGTGAGGGCTCACTCAACTAGAAGCATGGCTTCTTCTAGGGCCCTTCTTTCGGGAGTTCCTCTACAGGAGATCTGTGAGGCAGCCGGTTGGGCTACTCCACATGCTTTTATTAGGTTCCACAGTCTCCACCTTCCTAGTACGCCTGGCACACGCGTGCTTAGTCCTTGCTGAGTGCCTAAACAGTTTCACTCCGGGACAGGCCTATTCGGTGCGTGGCCTAGTGGGCACTCGTTCCCCAAAGTGTCGATTCTCGACGCAGTGTAGAGTTCCCTCGAAAGGGAACGTCTCGGGTTATGACTATAACCCTTGTTCCCTGAGAAGGGAACGAGACACTGCGTCGTTCTGCCACGCCCCTTGAGGCCTTGGAGCGTCTTGCTTCATCGCGAGGCTAGTGTGTGTTGTGACAGTGTCACTTTTATACTTCCGGGTATGCCGTCACATGTTACGTCACGACGCAACAGCAATCAGGATTGGATTAGTTTCATTCATACTTCAGAGGCGCACGCTTAGGGAGCGTCCCCAAAGTGTCGATTCTCGACGCAGTGTCTCGTTCCCTTCTCAGGGAACAAGGGTTATAGTCATAACCCGAGACGTTTTCCAACTTACAAAGCATGTAGAAGTCTGTAATTTGTATCATAGGTACTCTTCAACTGTGAGTGACGGAATCTAAAACAAAAATCCAGTAAATCACATTGTATGATTTTAAAGTAATTCATTTGTATTTTATTCCATGACATAAGTATTTGATGACCTACCAACCAGTAAGAATTCTGGCTCTCACAGACCTGTTAGTTTCTCTTTAAGAAGCCCTCCTGTTCTCCACTCATTACCTGTATTAAATGTATTACCTGTATAAAAGACTCCTGTCCACACACAATCAAACAGACTCCAACCTCTCCACAATGGCCAAGACCAGAGAGCTGTGTTAGGACAATCATTGAAAAATTAGATGTGGACACATTCATTAACAGAAGAAATAAAGAATTTATTTCAGTACTATGTATAGATATGTGTACATAAAATGTATAATTGGAACTGTTAAAAGAAAACACAACTACAAATAATAAGACATACTTACAAGTTGTGATCTATAAACAACAGATTGTCCGGACAAATTGGGAATGGCTGTCTTTCAGGAGAAGCTTTTGTGCATAGCCTGCATTCTGTCTGCTGTTCTCCGTAAAATGTGCAGTGCACCGACAAACATTGAGGTTATAATGTTCAGAAACAATGTTTAAAATAAATTTTAAGCACTCTAAATTCGTCAGCCTTTTTCCAGCCGGGTGGAAAAAACAGCGACAACACTCTTAATCTTCTCTAGCGCAGCTCAACCAGGCCTCGCCAACTTTTTTGCGTATTCTGTGGGCGGGGATTATTTAAACGAGGAACATTATGACTTCATAAGATCCGGAAAAAACGCATTGTAGTCCAATCGAATGGGATTGGCTGAGAGGCTTTTCCAACCGTGCAATGTAACAGCACTCTAACAGTTTTACCATTTGTATCACTCCGCTTGCGGCGTCTGTCATGGCAGTCAAATCCACCATAATTAAAAAAAATACTACTGTTGTTGTGTCACGAAATGTAGTTTTAAGAGTTTTTTTAGGCAAGAATGTAGTTATTTAGACCTCAAATATGTGACTAATACATAATCATGATTCATAGGGCCTATTTTACAATCTGCTTAGACGCTTTCGCAGATGCGAGCTCCAGTTTCAGTTTCAGCGGCCGTTCAGCGCTCATGTACCCGCAGAGAACAAGGTCATCACAGCCAATTCTTTTGGAAATTTGCCACTGGCTCTTATATAGATAGTGGTTATGAGATATAATTAATTTGGGGTATATCAAATGGTCTTTACGAGTATGTCAGAACAAGGAAGTTGTTTTAGTGCTGTCATGCTGTCACGCTTTCCTCAGCAGACATTCAAACTGATTTTTTGGATATAATATTATGGACATCGACCTAAAGAATGAATGCTATAACAGATGCAGGTAATACACTCGTTTAGTCGACCTCTCTCTCATAATACCATAATACTCTACTCTACATAATACAATAAGCTTCAATGAAGCGACTCAATGTTCCTTCATTACTAGTTCTAAAGTGATGTTTCAGAATTAGTAAATGAGGCTTGGGCTCAACTGTCAAACTGTCAATTTGAGATTTAAATCCATGGCGGAAGGAAGTAGTTCTGCACAAGAGTTGTTTTAAAGACACTGTTGTTGTTGTTTCTTTTTTATTTATTTTCTTGTGCCATCGTACTGTTGTATAAACGCAATATCAAACGAGTATCTGTGCGATATGGCTGTATATCAGCACGCTGTGATTACCTACGACCGAATCACAACCGTGCTGATATACAGCTATCGCACTGCTACTCGTGTGATATTGCTCATATATATATATATATATATACACACACACACACACACACACACACACATTATATATATATATATATGTATATATAGTCGGGGAGACCGGGTACAATTGTAACACGGGGCTAGTTGTAACACTACCAATTCCACCAATCAGGGATAAGATAGGAGTCATGTGACAGTTTCAGTTTCCTCAGGCTTCCTTTACGATCGCACATGGAGTTTTTCAAGTCTGTGTTGCAATCTCTCCTGAAGCTACAACAGAAAATCTAATTCTGAGGTAAGAAAGTATAAAAACACTAGATAATATTTCGTTTAGGGTAACACTTTATTTTAAGGTGCTTGTAATAAGCAGTAATTAACAGTTAATAAGACACTTATAAGACCTTATAAGATGCATATAAGACGCATATAAGCATTAACTAATTATAATAAATAAATTAAATTAAATAATACATTTCTCAAGTATCAATACATTGCACTTTTAGAACAGCCGAACAAACATAAATGGTAACACAAACTCCCAGTCACTTAAAAATGGACCTTCCCAAGAGGGAATAGTTTCCCTGATCTCTTCAGGGCCTGGACCTTTAATTAACCCTTATATGCATCTTATAAGGTCTTATAAGTGTCTTATTAACTGTTAATTACTGCTTATTACAAGCACCTTAAAATAAAGTGTTACCGAATGGTGTATCAACCTCCTGCTAATTTCAAAGCACCATGCTAATACAGCTAGTTAAACAATGGTGACAGTGGCGGCTGGGTAGGTTGTAACACGTGTTTTGAAAGTCCCCCCTATATCAGTCTGGCGAGTAAACGGAAAAAAAAAAATAGTAGCCAATGGCGATTCTATTGACAAGCATCACAAGTCCCCACTGCAGTATGTGTATTCTGTTTGTGACTGCTGATTCACTTACAGAACGTGTGACAAAGTCAGTATTATTTTATTTTATACTGACACCTATTGGTATGGATATAGCATTGTGTAAAAAAAATAAAAAAAATAATTATGTCATTACGCAGCATCAGAGTGGGCGGTAGAGGGTTAGTCGGTCTAATCCAGACACTGTAGGCTATAAAGGAAAGGGCAGTAGGGAGAGCTGCAGGCAGAGTCTCACTCATGGCCTATGAGACAGAGGATCATGAGACTCAATACTGCTTTCCTGCCATCAACTCATCGTGTATCAAGGGAAAACGCTCCAATCATGAATACAATATCATGTATGTGTTTTTTTCATTGCTGTCAGCATGGACTGTGTTTCTGAACCTGCTGGTGATCATCTCCATCTCGCACTTCAAGAAGCTTCACACTCCAACCAACCTGATCATTCTCTCTCTGGCTGTGGCCGACCTGCTTGTCGGATTTATTGTTATGCCTGTGGATGCCATCAAGCTGATTGAGACGTGTTGGTACTTTGGAGACACTTTGTGTGGACTGTTCACTATAACCCTCGGTCTAATTATCTCAGTATCTCTCAGTAATTTAGTTTTAATTGCTGTTGATCGTTATGTGGCTGTGTGTCACCCTTTACAGTACCCACAGAAAATAACCACAACTACAACGTTATTGAGCATCTGTCTGAGCTGGGTTTTCGCCTTGAGTATCAATATGGCCTTTGTAATTAGTAGCAGATATTTTGACACTTCACAAAGAGCAAACTTGTGCTATGGAGAATGCTTTTTTATAATTAATTTGTCGTGGAGGGTCACTGATCTGTTCATTTCTTTCATTTTTCCTTGCACCATGATCATAACTTTATATTTGAGGATTTTTTATGTAGTACATCAGCAAGTGAAAGTTATAAACTCTCTGATGAAGGGTGGTAAATGTGTAAAGGAAGGTTCAGTGAGGAGGAAATCTGAGAGTAAAGCTGCTCTGACATTAGGAATCATTGTGACAGTTTATCTTATTTGTTGGATTCCATACTATGTCTTGTCTTTAACAAAGACTACAATAATCTCTTCTGCCACAATGACATTTCTATTATGGACTTTGTATGCTAACTCAGGACTGAATCCTCTTATCTATGCTTTATTTTACAGCTGGTTTAAAATATCAGTTAAACACATCTTAACTTTTAGAATATTTCAGCCAGCATCCTCTCTTGTAGACATTTTTACAAATAATTCATAATTGTTGCTAGGGTTTCTATTTTTTTTTTTTTTTTTTTTTTATCTTTACTGATAATGCACAATCTGTTTAATCTGTTATAGCATAAACCAAACCATGACTAGTCCTGTGTTTGTTTCTTGTCGAGGCTTTATTGTTTAAACATTACCAAATAACTAACACTTTATTTCAATAATTTGTTTGAAAATGGGACCAAATCCACCTTTGATCAAGGTGTTCCCTCTTAGGTGACTCTTATAGAACTCTCACCCTCATGTCACTCCATATATGACTTTCTTCTAAGGAACACTATCAGGGTATGGTTTGTTTGCATACTGTTTATTTCAAAATAAACATTTAACACAAAGCCTTGAAAAAAGTGAAATGTGCATTTCTCTGTATGAAAATCAATAGGACATTTAAAAAACCCATAGCTAAAATAAAAAACAAACAAACATAAACGGCTCATCATTTTAAAAGAAACAAGCAAACAACAAATGATCAACTTAAAACACAAACACTATTGACTTTTGAGCCCATTGTATCATGGCATTTCTGCAGAAAGACCTCAGCCATCCCTGAAAACAAAGAATAGGCTACAATAAGTTCATCGCAAAGCCATTTTACAACACCCAATCCGAAAAGTAATCAAGCTGACCACAGGGGGAAAAACAATATATAAAACAAAGTATGACAACAAATTCAATCTTCAATGATAAAATGAGATTCAATATTTTAAGCAGATATAAATTAGTTAACCACATCATGACAGAAATATTATAGACCAGACAACACACTGTATTCTCTGCCATGCTTGTTCTATTGGTAAATGTCTTACTGGCTTAAATGCACGTTTCACTCAAGGCGTCGCATTGATTAAATACAGTATTTGACAATAATTGCCCCTATTCTGTGTCCTTTAATAACCATATAATCACACAAGCAGTCAAATGGGAAACATTTTACAATATGGTTACACATATGTTTTCCAAATTAAAACTTTAAAGCTGCTTTGTTTGGGTTAAAAATTATCCAAAATAAATTTGAGAAAATACATAACCAGCCAGTGTTGAAAACTATCTGCTTGCCTCAGCTCGATTCAAAACGGTGCGCTTGTAATAATGTTTTTAATTCCAGTGGTTGACTGGTGGATTTCCGCGGGAAATTCGAGCATGTCTTTGCGTCATTAAGTCACATCTGTACACATAAAGGAGGAGTCTCGGCTAGTAAGCTATATTGCGAGTGAGGATACTGGAGGTGGAGATTTATAGCCTTTTCTCACAGCACTTGATATAATTAAACTTATTATTTTGATGGCAGATCCAGAAAGGTTCAAACGACAATCACCAGTGACAACTGGAGACTCACCCGTTGTAAAATGACGGAAGAATCACTGCAGCATTTATGACATTTCTGGATTTCTGGAAGTGAATTCCCCCCTTGAAATGTTATATCCATCTTTAAAAAAAAGAGAGATTCAAACTCAAATTCAAATTTTAAGACCACCCCACAGATACAGTCAAATTTCAGTCAATACAAATTAAAACAAGAAACCCAAACAAAAGGCCAAATGACATATTCTAGCTCACATGTTAATTAATACCATAGACTGGTTAATACATAGTGAAGGCATAGTACATTTGATTATTAGGTAATTGTATGAGTTGTAAATTGCTGGCAACAACTTCATATCACAGTTAAATTAATATTGATTCGTTTTAATACTTACGTTTTATAAGAACTAATTTAAGTAGTCTACATAAATTATATAAAGTAAAATAATTACTCCGGCATTAATTAAAGGGACACTCCACCCATTTGCATTAAGCTTTCCATTGTTAGAAACCCAGTCAAACTATTGAATGGTCGTGCAACAATCTCTCATTTTCCCCTGAGACGAGAGGAATCCGCTATTTACTAGGGCAAGCCAGACCTACATCCAGATGTTAGGTCTGGGAACTCACAATTGGCATACCTCAATCCGAGGGGCGGGATAAACGGTTGTCTTTCAATATCCCTCGTCACGCAATAGGACAGCACTACAACCAACCAGAGCAACGAACGGCTGTGGCTGTGTGTGAGTCCCATGCGTTTTTCCACCAGCGGAGCTAGTTGATATATTAAACTTTTGCCGTATCCGATCCTCAAAACTCCGAACACATCTTCCTTTTTTAAGAATGACTTAAGTTACGTTCTCTTAACTCCAAGTCCTCCAGAGTCGCGGCCAAATCCGATTCGAAAGACCGCTGTTCGCCAGCAGCATCTTCTTTGTTTTCAAGTTAGCAGGGAAATCACCTATGGAAATCACGCGGAACCGTCACATCTCTGCCGTCATTGTTAAGCCCGCCCACGAACTCAATACACGATGTGATTGGCCTGACCAGAGTTTGGTATTTCCAGCTCGAAAAGCCAACGGAGAGTTGCTAGACCACACTTTGCTGCAAAACAATTTTTGCTGCCGCTAGGGTGCGTCTAGATTTCTAGGCTACTAGGGCTGGGTATTGACACAAATTTCACAATTCGATTCGATTTCGATTCACTAGCTTGCAATTCAATTCGATTCCGATTCGATTCGATTCAATATTGATTATTTTGGATATCAGGTACAATACAAGGCAAATTTTCTCAAGGAAAACAAATCTCTTAACTAATGCTGTAAACTATGGGAGTCAGTTGTAGCCTACTAGGCTTCATTAGCCTACTATAATATTGAAGGTAAAAATTAACTGATTTGTAGCAATACAAACACTTAAATTACACTTTTATTTATTTTTATAATAAGAAAGTTATATTGAAATATAAACATTTAAATGGTGGCTGTCATAAAAAACAGATTTATTCAAACATGCATTAAATATTGAAGAACATTAAAAAATTATAATGAATATGTAATATGGTGCATATTTAGCAAAATGCTCCTCTTTAGAGTACATTTTTCTAGCTGACTAACGAGTTTATGGTCACATATGGTTTTTCTGAGGTAAATGTGATGTTACATGACATTGTTTACGAGCTGTTTTACCAACGTCTGAAACATTGATTGAGCATGTGACATGATACGGATTTCGATAAGTTGCACTATATTTTTTAGCACACTTTCAGACGTTCATTCATGTTTATTTCGCGCTGTAACTGGTATTATTAAGGCAGAAGAGGAGATCATGTGCGCTCCGCGCTGCTGCTTCTCTTGAGCTGAGCTGAGCCAGAGCGATCTCACGCCACAGCGCGAATTTCCTTGAATTTCGTAAGAAAATGGATGTAATTTGAAATTTGAGACTTTATTTAGTTTCAACAAAGCACAAAGATTATTGCGATTTATTGAATGGGATGGGCGCTACAATGTTCCATTCATTCATCAAATGAAAACAGGATGACTAATCGATTCTTGAGATTTAAGAATCGATATCGGTTCATAAAAAGGAGAATCGTTTAATATCGAGAAATCGATATTTTTTACCCAGCCTTACTATTTACCTTTTTCACTTCCTCCTACAATGACGCAAAAATCGTCATTTTACGTCATTGTAGGAGGAAGTGTAAGGGGGGGGGGGGGGGGGGATTTCTGTAAAGACTACAAGCACTAGTTCCCACCCTTTCAAACCCGCCCATAGGGGGTTGGACCTAATGCGCTAACAGAGCAATCACATATCAGTGGGTGGGACTTCACTTGCAGATACTGAAATCAATATCAGCCATCTTGTTTATAAGCTAAGCTAACAAGCGCTGTGGAGATAGGAAGTTACGACAATGACGGAAGAAACTAAACATGATATGGAAGAAGAGGATTTTGATATTCTGCTGCTCGAATCCGCTGTTCGAGGCTATCTTTACGAGCCGCAATATAGTGAAGAGCAGCTGAGGCTGATGGAGGAACAGGAGGCGGCTGCCTGTCACGGACGAGGAGCCCGGACTGGCATCTGCTGGTGCCTGTGCTCTCGCTGTGCGCTACGGACACAGATAGAGTCCGTCTGCTGCGGAGAATTTCAACGATGGCAATTTCTCCTGGACGAAATCTCTGAATCAGACGAGCACACGGACGTTTGTGTTGTGATGTGAACCATCCTATTTTCGCACCGCATATGTTCTGACTGAACATCCAGGTATCATGCAATAATTCACCATATAGAAAGAAATACAAACGAGGAGTAATTCGCTAATGAGTTTGCCAATGTAACGAACATTTAAACATTTTAATAGTAAAATAAACAAATACAAAACAAAAGTAAAAGCCAGCTGGCCACACACAACAGAAACAACATAAAATCAGGCCTGTTCCTTTTGTGCTTCCGCTCCTCCGTGAGAGATTTGAGACCGCTGCGTCTCACAGGTGCAGGGCCGCATTAAGAGCTCACTGGGCCCCGGGGCTATGAGCTCTGCAGGGCCCCCCACCACCACTTTAGGTCACCAACTACATGAGCTAAATGTTCTATCATTATACGAGTCATTTCATACTTCACAGTTAAGTTATATTACTTTTAATACGATTTTTTATCATATCAAAATTTTATGCCACTCAAATTTCATAATTCTTGTGACCAATTTCAATATCACAAAAAATAATAGTAGCTTAAGAAAAGAATCTCAAGCTTACTGATGACAAGAGTCACAAATAACAATAGAACAAAGGCACATAAGAAATCGACCTACTTGAAAAACTTAAAGCACTGAATAATATTATATTGTATAAAGTAATCAAATAAATAATACATAGTTTTCACTATAAATTCAACATTCATTCTTATTAATTTTACAAAAGTGATTCAGTCAAGGGCAGTAAATAACTTTATTTCTGATGTTTGATTAACATTATTGCACAAATGGCGACAGCAGCTTTATTAGCAGCTACTGTCACTTTAAGACCTCAGGGTCGAAACTCAAGTGCGCTGTGCAAAACCGTCTCAAGTTCACCATGGTCTCATACCAAAATGAATTCTCTCCCGCTGCTTACTGTGCCTGAGCAGTTTAAAATAATTTGTATCCAAACCACAATGTTTAAAAACGCGTTTAAATTATAAACTTGTATC